AGGAATTTGGATTCAACGGTCACTGTGATTTAATGCTCTGCCCTCATGCTGCCTTAAAATGTAGGGAAAGAAAACCTGAAATCCATGACTAGAGAATGTAGAGACTGGACACTTCTCCCCAAAATTACTCTTTAATTTACCAATAGGTTTTTATTGTCAGTGATAATCATATACCTACCATATACCTACCATATACCTACCTCTGCCCTTCAAGACTCCTTAAACCCATACTGTTCTTACAAATAGAGATAAGAGAGGTGGTTCTTATGTTCACAGGTCCTGGTGAGATTTAAGTGGGGGAATTTAGGCAAGAGAGGGAAGGAAGAGATGCCTTTGGTTTATGTTTCCTCCTTACTCCAGCATGGTTCCCTGACACTCCTCACAGAAGATGTGAGACAACTCATATTCAGTGTTTGCCCAGCATGCTGCTTATTTTACACAATTTAAATCTAAAATATGTTCTTTCAACTACCACGACTTTGCATTCTAGATGTTTACTTAATAAGTTTGTTTATACCACCAGTATTTCATATAATTCACCAGTGTACCATGACTTCTTTATGTTGCTCTGGTAATACAAAATAGCTGTAAACCTGGTTAAAGCTAGAAACATACTTCAGCTTCTTCAGGCTACTGAAAGTGATATAAAATAAATGAGTACCTAAATTTGGGTAACTCACAATGTCTTACTATCATTCTGATGCCATCCAAATCTGAAAAAGTCTGGAGATGTGTGGGTCACTTCTTAATTGGGTATGAAAGTGCTGGGAGAAAAAATCAGTGCTTGTCACAGAAAAACCTTCCCATGGAAACATTTTGAATTTCAGCAGTATATGTGTTTTAAATGAGTTCTAACTCTGATCAGCCCAATTAATTCTGATTAGTAATTAATCTAACTCAATCAATAAAATATTAATCCATCATGTCATTTTGAAAAACTGTAATATTTTATTCTTTGCAAACAAAATAATTTACTTCTATTGTGCTAAAGTATCTCAGTATTAAATGCACAGTATTGGTCATATTTGTTATGTATTTCAGGGCCTTACTATAAAGTTCACAGTCAAAATTAAATGCTTTAAACATATTGAACAACACTTGACAGTATAAAATATTATGACAGTAAAGAAGTGAAGTGAGAAATGTAGTTCATTTCAGTTTATTCTCAGCAACAAAAGATGCTTTCATTGATATGTTCTTGCAGTATGTAACACTGCTGATTAAACTATAGGTAGAAATCAGTTGTGTCAAACTTTTCTGACCAACTTTATATTAAGGAGACTGCGTCATTAGCTGCTAAATGCAATGTTTTCCATCACTCATGTGAGTCTGTACAAATCTCTGTTCAAAAAATTGTTCAAATACAGGGGTAATATTTTCAAATTGTTGATGAATCAGTCATAGGAGAAAAAAACAGAACAGTGTTATGTCATCAAAAATTCTTCACAGCAATAATTACAACAATATTTCACTTTCTCTTTTAACAGCATAGGGATTCTTTGCCCAGAAGTTCTATAAATTTAGTTCTTAGCATTACATGATGATCACATATCTCCAACATTAGTTAAAGTACTTGTCAGGAGGGCTATGTAAATCACCTCTTTTTGTTTTTAGTGCATTTGCCACATGTTGAAGAAGCAGTGAAAATATTAGTTGCTCATGCTAAGAAATCATGAAGTGGAGAAAATCAAAGCACAAGAACACAAGTCCTGTCAAATGTGGGAGTTTAGTGGAAAATAAAATAATTTACCTTGACTAGAAACTTACTCAGATTGTTTGTATGTACTGAAATGCCTCTTTTCTAGAATTTTCTTATAAAAAGTGAACCCTACAAATAGCCCTGTTGGCTCTAGTTGCACTATTTGTGGAATAAGGAGCTACTCATCTTGCTTAAAAAATCTGAGTTTGGCCTTAAGCCATCATGGGCAAGATTCTGCAATCCTTACCAGAGCTGAATAGTACCTTAAGCTGGGCCTGATTATGAACCGATTACTCATGTTGTGCTGAGCAGTTCTTTGCATGAATGGGGCCATTGTGAATAAACATTTACAAGTGATTCACAATTTGGCATATGTGAGTAGTCTCACTCACATCAATGCATCTACTCATGGAGTAAAGCACTACTAAATAAAAGTGGCAGAATGTGACCCTGTTGTAGTACTTGACATCTAACACGAAGATACTTTTTCATTAGCTAAATGAAATGCTGCAAGCAACAGACTATCATTCATTCTTTGAGACGAGGCTGATGCAAGAGCATGACAAGTTTAATGCAGGCCTGCAACTTATCACACCTCAGGTTTAATGAAGGGTTGAATACCTGTTTGTCTAATGCATAAAGTTATGCTAGCAACATGTAAGAAATAATTTCCATTGCTAAATTTGAGGATGAACAACTAATTATAATTATCTCCCTTTCACTTCATTAAAATCGGCATGAAAATGACATATTATTTTATTTTCCTCTTTGATTTTGGAGGCTTCAAGCATCTGAAAATGTTGTAATGTTTTGAAAAGGATTCTCCTCAATTATTCTGTCACCGCAATAAATTCCTAGGAATTGTTTAATTTTACTTGACATAAAAAGCCTTGTGAAAATGAACTTTTTTTCTGGATTTCGCAAGACGATAACAGCAAATTCTGCTATCAAAATAAATAAGTAAACTGAAAGAAAGGCAACAATAAAAATGGCTTGAAGTCTGCCAGCTAATCTTTTGCTTCTTTATCCACTAAGGGTGCTCTAATAAAAATTATCTGGAAATAACTTTGACAGGTTCTAAATGTTATACCTTAAAAAATGATTATGTGGGAACTGAAAAAAGAAAACAACAACAACAAAAAAGCACCCCACATTTTAGAGCTGGAACAAGTTTGACCTGATTAAAATCCCTTGTATTTCCACCACTTTCATCCTTTTGCATGTGGCACAAGTGTCTGTATAACACTGGTATCTCTACCAGTACTAATAAAATTGGCTTTTTGCTTTAAATCATAAGGCTCATTTTACTGCTGTTTAAACAAGGCATAAAAAAAAAGGAAAAGATAAATCCTAGCCAGAATACTCCTTCCTAGTTCCTCAGGCCAAAGCTGAAGTTAATGTTTAAAAGGAGAATAAAATTACTAAACTACAAATTGGAATATACATATGTGTTAAACCTTGAGTTTATTACTAGTAGCAAATAGGACAACCTTCCTTTCAATCAGCTGTGAAATAAACTGCTGTAAAATTCCCATTTTCAACTGATCCTCCTGCTTTCAAAGTCTGTTTATTCCACAGAAAGATTACAGAATGAACCTATCTCCTATTTTTGTTTTCATGTTTAGCCTCCTGAGTGGGAGCAGAGACAATCTGAGGGTTTCTCTGAGTTAGTTTTTGTGAGCACTGGTAGTTCAGCTGTTGCTGTGATGAAATGTGCTTTCCTGATCTTCCCTTCTTCCCCCATCTGCCCTCTGTTCCTAACTAATGGTCAGAGAGAAAAGCAAGAAGGAATAGGGAGTGCCCAGAGAGTTGTATCCTGTTCTAATCACAGCCATGCAAGTCCTTCTTGATTTCAATTAATTTACTTTGCCTTTATGAACCTGAGAGACTGACTGTTGCTTTCAAAGAGGCTGACATTTCACTCATCTGAAGGAGCTTGGAATGTGACAGGGGAAAGGGAGGAGAAGTAAATCAAAGCAGATAGCAATTCTCCAGATGTAAAGTATTTTTCTTCTCTATTTTTTTTTCCACCAGAAATGTCAGAAAGTCTGCTGACATTTTAATTCCTTTGTGATAGGCTGGGAGCTGAGAGCCAAATCCTGCTGCCACTGCAGTCGAAAAGATTTTTCCTATCAACTTTAAAGAGAGCAAACCAGTCTGGAAAAAAAAAAAAAAAAAAACACCAAAACACAAATAAGCAAAGTATCAACAAACTGTAAGTAAAACTAAATTAAATGTACTGTTATAACATCTTGAGATCAGATACAGACTGAAACTGGCAAGCCTTGTTGGACTTTTTTCATTTCAATTTGACCGTAGCATAACAAAAAAGCAAGTTAGTAAGACTGGATTGGAAGCAAGACTTTGCTCTTGTGAGTTTTATTCTAAATCTGGATTCTGTTCAAAGTGTCACAGTACTATTCCATGCTCTCTTCTACTCACCTAAATTTCAAGATACATCTGCAGCCTTGAAGATTTCATTTAACCACTAGTGGACATAATCTGTGAATGTCTGAAAACTCTATTAAAAACTCTGTTCCTGCTTTTAATTATATGTTTGGAAAAAAAAAAAAAAAAAAAAAAAAAAGCCCTCATTATCTTTAATAGGAATACACTCAGGCCCATAAAATAAAAGAGTACCTTTTATTCTCATTACATTAGTTTTGCATTGATATAACTCCAACGAGCTCACATGCATTTGTTAAAACAGCAAAACTGGCTCAGAGCAGCAGCACAGTGCTGAGAGAGTTAGGTCTACAGATTCCACCTACAATATGAACGATCGTATATTTCCTTCTCTGCATCGTGTGCTTAGAGATTTACTTCATGGTTTTATATAATAAATTTATTTTCCTTTACAGAGTTGTTCCCTTATGAAGTACTCGTTTGTAAAGCATTAATTTTGTATACAAGACTCCTGAAAACCAATGGAGTAGACATATTTGCTGAATAGTTTTATTCTTTTTTGCAGATTCTATAATCATATTTCATCAACTGGTACAACAAAACATATTTCTATATAAAAACCAAAACAAAGAGGGCTTGTTGAGCTTGATGCATGGTAAATCTATTTGGTTTATTCTTAGCTTATTGTTAAATATTATATTGCATTTGTTTAAGCAGACATTGTGTATATTGTGATTTCTAGCATTCCGTACACAGCAGCTTATTGTTGTGTCCTTTAAATATGGAAAATAAAAATGTTTTCAGTTTGCTATGAAAAAAAAAAACAAAACAAAACAAAAAAACCAAAAAAAAAAAAAAAAAAAAAAAAAGGAAACGAAGACAGGGTACTGCTGTATTACATGGCCCAGGAAATATTAGCAGCATGCTCTTTGGCTTTCATCCGTAGAACTGCAATGCTGGAGGACCTCCTTTCAAACTCTGGCTTGGTTTCAAAAGCATGTCCATTGGTTGCCCCAGAAAGTAAAGAGTCAGTGAAAAAATTATTGAGGGGCATGTGGCTGAATTGATTCTGGTGGTTTGAAAATCCCGTGTAGCCAGAATCTGTCCGGGGTGAGTGGGAATAAGGCGTCATGCAGGACGACGTATCTCGTGGCAGCATGCAGGAGGTAACCACAGAACCGCTAGCCGCATTCCCTGCCCACAGATTGTTCTGAATCTGGAACATATAAAATGAATAAGATTAAATTTAGATAGTTCATCTTTTGTTTTCTGCTATGTTTGGTTTGCTTTACTTAACCACATCCATTATTAATTCTCCTCTAAAACAAGCAACAAGTGCTTAACTAGTTCTCTGCAATCATATTAGAAAATATCATGAAGACATTACATGGGTCAAAATACTGGATCATCCTTAAGCAAGGGCTGCTGAATCATATTCCTTGCTCTGTCATCCATTTGCCCCATGGCTCTGTCCTGTTTACCACTGAACCTCAGGATGCTGTCAGCCCAACTAATCAGTAAAAAATAGTGAAAGCACACAGCTGACTTCAAAGAAAAGGTGTCAGTGTCAATATTGTAGCTGTTTTCACCATAAAAGCTTCTCCTCATCAGAATTCTTTCCTAATGTAATAGTAGAAAACAGAATAAAAGGGTAAACAAAACAAACCAGAATTTCTCAAGTGACAAAGCCCAATAAATATTTGCAAAATTAAATTTTGAGAAGTCTTGCATAATTCCTTTAAAATAAATGAATCCATAAAACACAGGCATGGTTGATAATACATCCAAACCTGAAGTTGTTTCAAAGATGGTTTTAAGATAAAAATTCTTTCCATGATGCTTTTATATGAAATTATACTTGAGGCCATTTCTACTTCAGCTCTCAGCCTTAACTGGCTGCACTGTGCATCCCTGGAAACCGTTGCATGACAGACTAGGAGACAAACTTTGTGGTTACCAGCAATGTCTGCTGAAGATCTGGAGTAACCACGTATTCAAGCTTTGATGTGTAATGTCTTCTATACTTGGCAGTCACTTAAAGCCTCATCCTGAGTCTCAGGCCTTCTCCTATCATCTATGTATAGATGCTATTTCTGGATAGGTATTTTTCACTTATTTGTTTCGGGATGAACAGACAGAAATATTTTCAAGGCCTAGCACAAGTCAGATCCTGTCATTATCTCAGACTGCATTCTTTCATTCCTTCTCTATTCACTTTGTTTCAATCTAACTTCACGCTCAGCAACTGTTCTGTCTTTTTCAACTCTCTATATCTCTCTATCAGTATTATATGGATAGAATTTCTGACGATCTCTGACTTCCTTGGCCATTTCTCGCTCGCACTCACCATTATACAATATACAGCTTTATCTTTCTTCTCCACTTTTACTTATATCTCTTTCCTGAATGTTGATTTTAAATACAATATATATAAATATCATTTTTTTTTTTTTTTTTTTTTTAACTTTCCTAAACTTGTCTTCATCCTAAAAATCTGTTGTCTATTCAGTATATCATTGCTCTGATGCACTGGGATTGAGCCCACATGTCTTATTCTCTGCTATACGTTGAAGTAATTGCAGTTACTCTTTCGTTAGCACTATAAAGTGAATTCCCACTTCAAACTTAATTTTGCCTTCATGTTCCAAATCCATAGACAAAGGAATTTTGGCTTTAAGATATGTAGGTTATCTCTCTAGCTGAGTAATTTTTTTTCTGCCAAAGTAGAGGTCAGGGGAAGTAATGAATTATGACAGACATACATACACACACAGAGAATGAAAACATGCTTCTAATGCTGAGTTGTTTTTATCCCATTGTCCTATTACTTTGCAACAACACATACCCACCAAACCACCAACAAGATGAAGAAATTAATTATGGTTCACTGAACTCATGTAGCTGAGATCTAGTGCAGATAGCGGGGATGAGATAGACTCTTATTTTAAAAGATAATATTTTGAACAGTTGTATTAGCAGGGGTCATCAGGAGCTGACAAACTAATTTGGGCTCCTTGTTAATTCCAGCAGCAAGAAAAAAACAGTAAACGCTCCATTTCAGTTTCCTACAGAAGACGGGAAAAGTCATGGTGGCAACATGTCTCCCCAAACTCTTGGTCTGACCAACTCCTTGTTTACACAGACATGCATACATACATACACTCTCACGAATGCAGCTTGCCTTTCCACACACACACATACGCACAGCTCTTTGGGCACACCTCAGGCATCTCCTCCTGCATATCTTAGGTGGTCTGCTGAGAGGTAATGGAGTGAATAAGGTGCCTGGGAAAGGATATCGAGGATTTTTCCTCCTTCTTGTGGGCCTCCTGAGATCTACAGGAGGAAAGAGACTCTAGTGAGAGTTTCAGAACTTTCCAGTTCCTCTCCTTCCCTCCTCCCTTTATCAGTTTTTAGAAAACTCTCAAACATTTTCCCATAAACCTCAGATGCCTTATTGCTCTTTAATTAAACCACCTGAGCCAGTTTTGACTTATAATCATAAAAACTTGTTTTGGATATTCAGAGAACAGGTGGTTTATCTGGGGATATCTTATCTGGACCAATGTGAACCACTGTCTTGCTTACATTGCATTCAACCACACAGAACATTCCCACAAAGATCAGTACATCTCTTACGACTCAGGATTCAGGGACTACTGAGTGTCCTATTGCCTGGAAGTTTTCTCAGATCCTAGTACAGATTTACAGAATATGACAGGAAGGAAACAAGAGACCCTGAAAGAGCTGGAAAGAGTGGTAGTTAAATGTATGGCAACTGAGAAGTTATCCGCTAGGACTTATAAGGCTCACTGCCTTCTCAGACTTAATGAGTTTGGAACTACATAGCATGTGATTACAGTACAGAAGGGAGTAGTAAAGAAGCTGAAAGACTATAAGATCTAGAAAATATTCCACTTTAATTAAAAGCTCAAGCTGCACACATTCTGTCTTAATCATGAACTGGGAAAATCAGGAACCGAGTCATCCATACAAAAGTCGTCTTTTGGTTGTTGCTGCTCAGGAACACTAGAAACTTTTAGTTGTACTTTATTGTATTGCATGGCTACATTTATGTTTCTTGCAGCAACAGTGACAGACTAAACAACTGCTGGGGTTTTCTTTCCCTTTCTTCCTACAAAAGAAGTCACCCATTTCTATTTCCACATTTCTATTTCTGTTCCATTTCAGTTTGTTTTGCTTATACAACTCTTTACCGAATTGAAACAGAGAGGTGATACAACTATAAAAGAATCCAGGAAAAAAAAAAAAAAAAAAAGTATATTTCAAACACATGCACTCAGAATTCCATTCTTTCTGATGGTATTTCCAGGCCAAATGGTTAGTCTCAGAACCTTCGCAAGAGGATGAATTTGCCCAGGGAGAGACTAGTTCATCTCTGCCGCATATAATACAGGAGCTAATTCTGAAGGAACTCATCATCTCTCAAGCTAACTCACACAAAACAAAGTCTCATTTATCTGACTTGCTAAGATTTCTTTCTAAGAAACGCTATGCCAAACTACGCCAACTACCGCAGTTGTCCAGGTTGCACAGATATAATTATAGGGAGAAGTTTCCTAAATAATCTGTTTAAATAGGAACATGCATGAGTTTGCCTTTAATACACTCATGATGGGAAGACTTCAAAAGGTTCAGAGGCTCAGCCTGAAAGTGCCCAATAACCTACGTGGTCTGGAGGTATCACAAAATCACTTTTTCCTTCCATATTTCTAGCAGTTCGGTTTGCAGTAAACTAAGTTTGGTACCACAAATTTTCCTGATATTTTTATCCTAGACAAATGTCTTTCAATTTAACTTCAGTGAGATTTCACAGGTGTAAATGAGAACAGAATTCATCTGCAAATCTCCTAAAACATACCAATGTCTTGTTAAAGAAATATGTTCACAAACTAGTCATTCCTAATACTTTCAAAGGTTTGCCCTAGGTTTCTTCCTTAGAGGAAGGAATCCAAATTAGTAAACTTAACTTCAGAAATGCCACAGAATGCTAGAAAAGTTTTACATCTTCTCTCATGAGACACTTAACGCTTTTCAAAAGAATCAACCATATCAATATTCTATTCATTTTAGTTGGTCAAGTGACTTCATTTTTGATAACAGATTTTCATTTCTTAGCAAGGATTTACAACATAAATATCTTGTAGTAAAATTTAGGTGCAGAAGGTATTTCTGTATTAAAAATAAATACAGTAATGTTTTACAATAAGTCAGAATTATCAGATCTTATTCTGGTATGTTGGAAGGAAAAGGGACATTATGTACATGAATTTAAAGAAAATATTTTTCCTCTTAAACTCTTGTGTGATCCATGAACTGTATAAAAGGCAATTCAGGGACTGTGAATGAGGCTATACATACAGTACATCTCTGGTTTCTGTTAACATCACAAACAACTTGAGCTTTGCTCTTGTGGTTACCATGAAATTACCAGAGCCCTTCAATATATTTACCTACTGTATATTTTATACACACACACGCACACAGCTTTCCTGATAGAAGAAAAAAGTAGGATTTCATAGCTGTGACAAGAACATAACTGGAGAGTTATGGCTGATAACATGGTTATGATATCATTTCCTAAGCATATGACCTTCTGCTTGACACTGAGGAAGAATATTAGCTGAAGTAATTGGTCATCCCACTCGGTGTTATTGCTTTATTTCTGTCAAAATTTCATGCTCATGAAGATTCAACCATCTTACACAGCACCTGGAGAAATTACGTAAACTCAAATCTCCACATTTTCTGAGAGTTCTACTATCACTTACCCATCTTTGGTTCTCCCATCACCAAATGTCTTGACTCATGCTAGCTGAGTCACCTGCTTATCCAGACTGGAGTCTGTTTCCAACAGTCACATATATAAGCACACACATCTTCTATTTGAGTGGACATGTATTTTAGTGCTTCACATGGGAAACTAAATATTAATCTCTTTTAAGATCTCTAAATATGAAGTAATATTATTGTTGCTGTTGTTACTGTATTACATAATATATGTTATATGCTATTATAATTACTCAAATAATTAGAAACTGCACATTGATTCTGTTTTCAGGATGTTCTTGGGCTTTGCAAGGGAGACAACAGTGGCACTAACTACAGTTAAGAATTTACTTAATTATAGAAAACATGAGTGTCAAAGAATTAAATCTTTGTCATTCCTCTCTTTGTGTGAAGCAACAAGCCTAA